AGCCCGGCTCCGCGGGGACCTGCGGCCCGTGCCAGCCTCTGCTCCCACCCCATGTGCTTTGGGGGGTCCCAGGGACCCGTTCTTGACTCCGGCGGAGGCACGGGCTGCTTTAACCCAGCAAAGTATACCTGGGCACGAGATACGGCTCCCCAGGACCCCGGGAGGAGATGCACTCCCCACCACCACCTCTCCGCCCCACATGGCAGCGCCAGCATCCCTCGCCCGTACCACGTACTTGCCATCCGATGAGATGGACACGCAGAGGACATGCGACGCGTGCCCCCTGTGCCGCTCCTCAGCGCCCTTCTTCCCCCCGGCCACAACGCAGAGCCCCTTCCCGCTCTCCACCTCCCCTACGGGAAAGGCACCACCGTCACCCCCTGGGAGCCTCCCACCACTCCGGAAAGCATCAGCGAGCCTCCCACAGAGCCCAAAGCGATGCCTGTGCACATCCCCAGAGGGGCCAGGGGCCAAGCCACCTCCACAGGCACCCACGGTCCTGCTGCTGCAGGGTCCCCGCAGGGTTCAGGCTGGGGGAACAGCCGGTCGTGGCCCCGGGGGAACACTTGCATTTGATGAGGGAGCCGTCCTTGGGAGCAGAAAAGATGAACCTGTCATCCGGAGAGATGACCAGGCAGGTGACGGGCAGCTGGTGCCCCCGCAGCACGCGGACGCTGGCTGGATCCGGAGGCTGCACCTGCAGGGAGAGCGGGATGTGAGCTGGGCTGCCCCGGTCCCTTCCCCAGGCTTGGGAGCACCCGAGCACAGCACCCTTCCTTCTCCAGGGCGCCAGCAGCCGGCACGCCGGGCGGGAGAAGGGCCACAGTCCCATAGCTGGCATGGCAAGTCGGGGTACCAGCCGTGGCCATGCCTGAGTGTCCCCCAAGCCGGCACTTACAGTCCGGCAGCCCCCCAGCGCTGGGCACTTACGTCTTTGGCGACGAGGCGCTGCAGCCGGCCCTTCTGCTCGAGCTGGGGAAGAAGCGGGAGGCTCAGCGGAGGCGGCCCCGGCCCCGCGGGCGGGGGACAGAGCCCGCCGGCGCCACCGGGACCGAGGGGACGCGCCCTGCTCCCTGCTCACCACGTCCTCCTTCAGCCGGCCGCCGATGAGATCCGCGGGCGTCTCTTCCTCCTCTGCCGCCGCCCGCTCCTCCTCTGCGGCGGACACGGGGCATGAGGGCCGGGCTCAGCACCGGGGGCTGCCCGCCTCTCTGCCCCGCCGGGGCACCGGCACCGGGGCCGGGTAGGGCTCACCGTACTGGCGGAGCTGCTCCAGGTACAGCTTGGCCAGGCGCAGCTGCTTCTCCTGCGGCGTCTCCTCTACCTCCTCCTCCGCCGCCGCCGCCTCCCGCCGCCGCCGCCGCCCCAACGACGGGCTGCGGGGACAGGCGTGAGCACCGCCACCGGCACCCCCACCGGTACCGCCATCCCCCCCGCCGCAGCCCTTACCTCTCCGGCTCCGAGTCGCTCGC